ATATATATATATATATATATATATATATATATACATGTATAAACCAACGTATCATCTTGCCTTAGTAATAAATACCTATTGCTTTGCTTGCTCTGTCAATTTTTCAATGTGTGGCAGCTTCTTTCCTACAAACTTCTTCAATGGTCAGTAGTCACTACTAAATGACAAAATTATGAAAGTATTATGCGCATATATCAAGTTGACGAAACTTTGCTTGTGATTCTTACTCGAAAGACGAAAATAGATGATTGAATGGTAAATATAAAATTTGTAATTTGAAATTGAGAGCATCACCGTTATATCTTGAGATGCAAGTAATATTCAGGTCTTGCCACCTTAACACCCACTTTTGAAAACTGTTGACATCCCAACTGAATATTCAAAATTCTATATTACTTCGCTCTCATTTCCTGTTTGTCCGTTTTATTTTACCACTAGCTGTCCTTATATTAGCATATTCTCGTTTAATGATTATAGCTTTGACACATTTCCCGAAGAGTTTTCTGCTCATACATTATGAGTTCCATGCAGTCATGAGATGATGCATATAAAATTTTTTTACATCTTGGTTCCTCGAGTTCTTCGAGTTGGATGTAATTGATGAGTTGTAATCTATACTATCTTTCAGATGTCTACGAAACTAATCTTGGTCTTTGTACTGCAAATAACAGCATTTGCTGAAGAGAAGCCATTTCTTGACTTTAGGAAAGTTATCCGGGTATGATGTTTTTTTCCTAAGATGTAATGAAGCATTTGTGCTATTTCTTTGGCATTTATTTGTGAAATTTTGAGTGAGACAAAATAATATATTACAACACCAATAACTTTAACTTGCTCAAGTTTTGATATTTATGCCTCACACAGTTTTGTAGTCTTTAATTCACTGTGCCTTAAAAATTTCATATATTTAATATTTCCCAGGGAGCTTTGGATGTAATAGCTGCGGTGCCAAGTACATCATCTGTGAATCATTCGGAGGATAATCTTGAAGTTCGAAATAGTATTCATAAAATTGTTTCGGTAGATGCAGAGATGTTTAATGACTCTGATATTTTCCAGCAATTTGCAGCTCAAACTGATTTCATTAGCCATCAGTCGATGCAACCTCTTTATTCGCGTTTTTGGTGTGTTGATATTGGAAAAAATGTGTATCACGTATGTATGTGTAAATATTTGAATTTAACATTTCAATGCAAACCATTTATTTTTATAGGATGGATACTTCACCGCGTGCAGCAAATATTGATCCAGATTATAATGCAGCGTTTGTTCAGGTAAAACACCCGTGATTTTTTTGATTTACGATCATTTTAATAGATTGCTTTTATAACAAGTTGGTCATGTGCTTTGTAGACTAATTATGTGTTTCAGAAAGTTTACACATCTAAACTTTTCCTTATTTTTCAAGTATTTTATATGTTATAATTAAGTCTCTGCTTAAAAAAACTTATTACCTCTTTTGAAATCTGAATTTTCTACCTATCTAATTTTCAGGACCCAATAATCACAAGAAGTTCAGCCGACAATTTATTTATGGATACTACACCACTTCAGCAAGTTTTTGCTTTGCATTTCTTTTAACCTTGGCTTTAAATGATACAGGCTTTATTCACAAAACTAACGTCGCACATATCAGGATTTCGAAATGGTTTAGATCATATCGACTGGTTTATCTATTGAGCTCAGAAATTTTTCATGCAATATAATGGCTTAACACGTCAGTTTATAACACTTGAATTTGATATTTTCAATTTCAGTAATTGGAAAATCCACTTTATTGCAGCAGTCTGGCACTACCATCTAAAGGTTTCGCAAATCAAGGCGTACGGGAACAAAATCTTCTTCCAAAAATGGACCAGCAGCCTAGCATTCAAACAGAACAACAAGCTCAAATTTTCCAGCCTATAATTAGAAGTGGCGACTTGTAAGTATTTCATTATTCTTATGGTTAACAAGCTACTTCTGAATACAGATCGTATTTGAAGGATAAAAATCAATCAGTTTTTGTTCTAAATCTTTTGTATTATTAGATATTATCAACCAACAGGAGTGTCGTCTGAAACATTACAACCAAAGATCATCAGTTACCGTGGTCAACTTTATATGATGGTATCAAATCAGGATAAAATTCAATCTGAGGTTTGTTTCAGCTGGATCCTAAATTGTAAGAGTTTATTGAATCTTCTAGAATTTCCTAAAATTTTGAAGCTTTTTTTCCACTGCTGAGCTATAATGATTGAACAAGATAGTATTATTCGCTCATTTGATGCCGCTAAAGCAGTTGAATTTTAACTTTTCATTCGTAAAACATAGACAGTGAGAGTGTGAATACTAGCAGAAGTAAATCGAATGTTCAAGAAATATATAGTGACAAGAAAAGAAGATGAACCGGCTCTGTCATCAAGAAAAACTTTTAGTTTTAACAAAGATGCTACTGCACTTCCGAATCCAAGATGCAAAAAATGTATTGCCGATCAAATTTGATAAAGCTAGGAAAAAATTTTAATCAGTGTTTATGCATGCATTTGTTTAAAATACTATTTAATAAAGTAGGAATAATACCAAACGAACTTTATAACCTTATCTATTCTCTTCACAACAGACGTTGCTGATTGTTCAAGTTGACATCATAGTTGTTACTTTATATAATTGGTGATCTTGCAGAGTGTGTAACAAGTTGTACAGAAAATAAATTGATGAAGTAAGCGAAGAACAAATTTTTATTGATCATTAGATTGAACCATCAGATAGTGAACAGATTTTACTTTAATTTATTAGATCAAAAAAAAAAATTGTGTTTGAAAGCAAATTATAAGCTTATCTAGAAAGCCTGTTTGTTTGTTTCTTACACTTATTTTCCAAAATCGAGTTCTCATTATTGTTGCACTGTGTGTAGATCTACTTCAGATCCAGGATAAAAATGAAAGCATGGAAGTCAAAAATAAAAATCATCAAATGCGAAAAATTCTGACTCTTAGGCGAAAAATGGCTGCTGATCGAAAAAAATTTGCGGATCGGAAAAGATTGCTATCATCCATGAAACGGAGAGTACATAAAGAAATGGTTAGTTGATTGAAAAATGTGTAATCCAGATTGGCGGAAACTTTATTAAGAACATAATCATATGATTACAGATTAAGACATCCCAACTTACTATTAAAACTCTTGACAATGTTTTTTTTAATTTATGAAATTTTTTGTAGCGTTATTTTTACTAAAGTTTTTAATCTTATAACTGCAAAAAATAGAGAATATAGGATGCGGGAAAAAAGATGCTCAATATATAGCTAAATTTCATTAGTTAATTACAGTGAAGCATCTCAGCAGATCTTTAGTCATGAGTGCCACAAAATTCGGATCTCCGTGCTGATGACATCGAATAGTCCTTAATACTCAGCTGTAGACAAATCAGAAGCTACGTTTCTCAGTTTAAATGTACAAAGGCAGAAAGTTCCGATGAAAAATATGGCGGATTATTTTTCAGCAAAGCATATCTTTCATCAACTGTTAAATGAACAAATTTATGAGTATTAATAACAATTTGGTTTACTTGAAATAAGTTAGCACTTTTTTCCTCATTCAATCAGTATTTGTGGTATTTGAATTTGGAGTTTTGGCTACTAACTGGCCTATATTCGAAATTTTTTTAATTTCGGAGTAAGGCTTTGCAAAATGATAAAAGCTTCTTTTTTGATCAAATATATTGTACAAGTCTACCACATTTTTCTTCTTACATTTGAATACAATAAAAGTAGATTTTATGCAGTAAACGAAATGCATACACATGCTATGGGAAATTATAAAATCACGCTATTGAAGACTTATTACTGAAAATACTAAAAATACTGGCACCATTCGCATAGATTATCTTTGCCGGAAATAGGGTAAGCGATGGGAGCAATTTTTGCGCTGAAAATCAGTCCTAAACCTGAACTCAGTAATTTTGTTATACTATACTACTTATATTTTTGTTTACTTCCAAGAATTTTCGCAATTCGTAAATAAATATTACCAATTTTCAGCCATTTAAGAGCTTCTATATCTAGCAAGTTTTCTTAAAGAACAAACTTGTTTTCTATTGTAATATTATCAGTATAAGTGTTTACTTGATGTAGATGTACAGAAAAATATGAAATAAGCTAAGAACAAATTTTTATTGATCAGCAGGTCGATCCATTAAATAATGGACAGAACTTTATATCCGAATGACTGTTAAAAAATTGAGTATTGCTGTTTGTAAACAATTATTGGAAAATAAGCAGTTTGCAATCCTGTTCATACGCTTTCATTCTGATTGTTGAATTCAGGATTACTTTCATCGACGGCCTTTCGTACCTTTCATCTCAACTTATCTAAACTTTCTTTGCAGTAGCTGTTTTCTCATAACTCTAACACTGGCTCTTTTCAGATTGTCATTTAGCTTTTTAAAAGGTGATTAAGTTCTCTAATTGATATTTAGTAACATTTTAACACTGCTTCGTTATGAATCTTTATTTTTGACTGACGAATTTTGATACCTATTAGTAATTTTTATCTCAGGTATTTATAAATTGATTTGTTTCTTTTATTTGGAAGAAAAATCATTTTGACGAGTCTTAAGAAAATTTTTTAGCAGTTGTGCTGAAAAATTTTTTCGTTATGTAGTGTATAAACACTCAGATTATTGGTGGACAAACGTGTTCTATCATAAACTGCAAAATGTTTAGCAGATAACATCTTATTTTCTATCCTTTTCTTCTCATCACTTTTGTCGCTTGGAGAGCTGAGAAAAAAGTAAATTAAGTTATAATATTGGTAGCATTTCTCACATCAGTAAAGAAAATGACCGTTTCGATCATGATTTACCTCCTAATTCGGACGTTCAAAGTTTTTTTCTTGCATCTGCGGTATGACACGGACGAACCCAGTATCATCCTTAGGATACAATAATATATATAATAATATGCAAATATCATACCAATAATAATGATATCATTATTGAATTAAAAAGAAAACATTAGTTCTCTGTGTTATACCAAAGGAGCATTTATTGCAAAAAATTACTTTATCGATTAGAGGGGATGGTCAATTCAGTAATTTAAACTGGATTAAGTTCCAGTGTGTAATTGCTCAGTAAAATATTAGCGTCTAAATAACAAAATTAGCCATAATCAATATTTGATTTTGATCAGTGAAAGGGAAAGCTTCCTCCACTGTTTTGAATAAAAAGTTGGCCGAAAAACGAAGTAAAGAAAGTTTGAAGGAAATTAGTCGAAAATAGGCAACCAATTGGTCCTCTATTCCAAATTTCGAAGATAGCGTAACAGTTTGAATACCTAGATTCTGTGTTACAAGCGCTGATGCGTTGTACAAAGCCTACTCTGTAAAGTGTGAGAGTCTAAAATAAAATGTGAAATACTCTATGCTTCTTACTCTTCTGTTAATTTTCAGGATGTAAAGTAAGAGAGAAAGCTGAATTAATGAGTTTAACAAGTACTGCAGTCATCATATGAAAATAATTGTTTATAATTATCAATTATGATTATTATTACAATTATTTTTGCGGATATTATTACTAATACTGTCAACACTGCAGAAAAATCTGCTATTTCACTTGCTACAACAAAAAGTGTTTCTTTTCTGCATTAACTTGAAAAATTCCTCACATTTGATCTGCTGAATCAACTAATTGACTAGTATGAGTATGTGTGTGCTCCACTTCACTGCAACTGGCTTCATCTTCCCTCACATGACGTTGTTATTCATCTTCCGCTACCTTTCACTTTCTTGTACTCTTACAACCGCCTTAATTAACAAATTTATCCTCTTGAAGCTTTCTCTTCAATTTCTTTTAGTTCTTTTCATTTCACTTTTGCTTGAACTAGTTCAGCTCTTCTTTCACTGGAGAAAATTTCTTTTTTTTCAACTCCGCAACGTTGCCTTGCCAGTTTATGAAAGTGATCTTTTGATTCACTATGGATCACTTTCTCTTACAGCAGCTGACATTAATAAATATTAAAAATCGATTTTCGTTGTTAGTATTATTTTCAAAAGTTAGAAGCAAAGTTATAAGTATTGCCTGAATCTTGTATCTCATAATTGTTATCTTCCATAATTTAGTGAGGATTTTCCAACAGAAGTCCACTCTATACAGAGGCTTTGTTATTCGAAATGTTGAGAATTCTCGATTTCCGAATAATTTTTAAAAACTTTTCAAGGGATGTATTTTCACAATATTAAGTTCAAGAAACTGAACTTACAGACTGGATGAGATTTGAGATGCAAAGAAATTGACTGTGATCACTTTTCCACCACAGGGTACCAAGGTACCAAGATCCCTTTACAAATAATCGCTGTAGTACGGATGTATATGTGAAACCAAGAACTTGAAAATATAAAAATAATATGAACTTAATATGTTGCTGCTTTAAAATGTGAAGTAGTAATTCACTTTTGCCCGTGTTAATAATCACTAAGCAATAACAAAAATTGCTCATAAGAAATAGTAATTTATTTGCTTTGCATTAAGAAGGCGGAAGTAATAAGACCTGTCAACTTTTCTATGAACGTACAAAATAACATGTTGAGCTACTTTGTAAGCATATGTATACAGATTTCACTGATTTAGTTGAAAAGGAAATAGTACGGAGCGAGCCAATAACAAAGGATGAAATTTTTAAATTGAATTCTAGGATTTCCATATAAAATTCCATTCTGAAAAGAAAGGATAATTATTTTGTTCTTGAATGAACTTCAGTAAAGTTCTGTAATCGTCGTTTTTGCCTTTATGAGCTGTTAGCCTGTGATACTTTCATTAGTTTTGTCAGTAACAAACCAGTGGAAAATACAAACTTGAATGCGCATTGTGCTTTGCTTCTCGTAAGTTACTAGCAGCCACAAAGTACGAAAGGTATGATTGTTTTCGCTTGTTTGAAATCTTGCCTATATTACAAAATAGTAGTTGTAGTTTTTGACTAACTAACCCTTCGCAAGAATTCTTTAGATCAAAAAGAGAGTAAAATTTTTGATAATATTTGGAAGAAGCCATTGACTAATTCAGTAGTAGCAAATTGTTTAAGAATTTAGGTTCAACTTTCAACATGTTTTATTACTCGAAAATTTTACTTCTATGACTCAGAGAGTCAGACTTATTACATAAGTGTTCCTCATTTTTCATGTGTAATGAGCAATTAATCGCTTTTCTCACTAAAGAAAGGTGTTGCACCCTGAAACATCAAATCTTGAAGATTTGATTTTTTTCCCTAATTTTTTTTCGAGATATGTTGTAAATATCGAAACGAATATTATTGAATATACTTTACTATGTAATTTTAATCGTAGAAAACTACTCTAGCTGTGTGCCAGTTGAATCGCAGACCGGAATTTTCTTCCCATTTTCAAGTTTCATCACTTGTAGCCACTTCTTTTATTACATTTCTAACAGAAATCGTCGTTTTCGATAGTTTTTATTCTGAAACATACTAGGAAGTTTGGCCTTTGTTTTTTCGTTTCTCTTTCTTTTATCGTAGCCGACATGTTGAATCAGTAGTTCAGCATATTACTCATTATGACTGCTTGTTTAAGACGTATTTCCATTTCATATCTTCTACGCTGAAGCTGTCTTAAGGCCTATTTACAAGAAACTTCTTAATAATAGTATGCTTTTGGTGATATCTATTGGCTGAAAGGAAATTATAAGCTGTGAAACAAAATACTGTGGTTAATAATCACTCGACTCGACTTCTGTTTGATTTTGCGCCAAATATAATATTTTGAATCTTGCTTGTAAACTGCTGATTGTGGGGAAGAGAAATTTAATTTTGTTTTTTGATAAACCATGTTTCCATGCTTTCGTCTTTAATTTTATGTTTGGAGAACATGTGAATATTCATAAACTCATAACAATAAATAGAACTGGAGAGTCATGACTTACTGTTATTAATTTCGGCACAAGATGCTTGTGGATTAAAGTTTGCTACGATTTTTGGCACATGTATTGTAAATGAAAATAGCCATTTGAAAATTAAATGTAGTTTCTTAGAGCGCTTATTGCAATGAAAAACGTAACATGCTTCATAAAACATTCAGAAAGATTGCTTATTTGAAATTATCCTCTGTTCCAAAAACTTTAGCCACATATTGTCATTGTAATTACTGATGTTAATAATATATATATTTAAGATTTTGTTCTGGATCAGTAACGAAGTAAGTCATAAATTTTTCCCAGATTTCGTGAGCTTTTTGTTTGCTTATTGATTGATCAGTTAAGTTGCGCGCCTGTGAGGTCGTACTTGCTAATTAAAAACTGATGTGACAACCCCAAGAGAAGTACTTATCGGAAGTAGAATTTTTTACAAAACTTAAGCAAACCATCCAAGGAACAGTCTTCAGTTTCTTAGTTTTTCTAGTATATGTTAGTTCGCAAGTAATATACGTACGCAATAATTCTTTACCCTTTTTCTTACTTGCATGCTTGTTTTTATTTGAGAGAAAAGTCGAAAAGAATGGGTTTACTGTATATAGTTATAAAAATTTTTTTAATCAGTCACTCCTGCTCTTCTTGAGCTTGAAACATAGCGCTGTCTGACTTCAAAAATGCTTACTTGCATGCGAACGTCCTTATTTTGTATAATAATTATTACATAGGTACAAGCATGTATATTGCTAGTTGCATGCGTCAACACATTGACTATAGCACAAGTATTCTTTTATTCCAATACTATTTACGCTCGAGTGTAAGAGCATAACTGTCGATAGTCGAAGAGAATGCTTGCGTAATTCGTTTATATCACTTGTTTTCATCCACTGAGCTGCTACTATCACTGCTAAGGTTGAAATGCTAGCGTTAGTACTGCTAGTGGTTGATTAACAACTACAGCATACATTTCTCTTCTCTCTGATCACTTCCAAAATTTGTGCGTTTCTTTCATCAATAATGCCATCAAGGTCTTCAGGTTTTCAAGTTGTCCCAAATCCTCCTTTTCTGAGTGCTTTCTTTCTTGTCGTTTACCGGACCTTGATTACGTCGTAATAAATATTCACTCGTCCATCTTTGCCTTTGAAATGATTTTATGGCCGTTTTTTGAAATATTTCCATTCTTTACTTTCATTTCATCTTTTCAATAAATCGGTTAGTTAGTTATAGTTCGCTAGTTAGTTAGATAGTTTGCTAGTTTGCTAGTGCGTAAGTTGTTAGTCATTTTGCTAGTTAGATAGTTACTTCGCTAGTTAGTTAGTAAGTCAGTTAATTATCCTAGTAACCAGTGAATTGTGATTCGCTTATCCCTTCTCTAACCAAAAAATGACTTAACTTGCTGGAATTGTATGCAGTCAGTTTTCTTTATTTTGTTTAAAGTATCTGTTAGAAATTACTCATTTCAAATGATTAGTCAGCAAAATAATGCGGAACTAGATTGTTTTTCAACCATGAAAACATTTTCCAATCAAATATTCATTTTTAGATTTAAATACAACTATTCTGTCATAATTTGTATTGCCAGTTATTATTTTATGTTATCTCAATATTTCCTTCATACATATTCATATAATATCGTTCTGTCTGTAGAACAGTTGTTCATTTTACAAAATTCTTTGTCTATCTTGTAAGATTCTCTTTCAATATTTGAAATGTTTGATTACTTCTCTTGTGTGCGTCCAATCTATCTTTTGTAGATGTGTCAGTTGTATGTATCGATTGCTTTTATTATTTTGTATTTCACTAAAATTCACTGCTAACTCATTCAAATTATTCGAATTATTCGGCTAACTCATTATCCGAATTCTTTCCAAGTTCAGTGTGATCATTTTTTGTCTAATTCCTGTCAGTGACGTATTACTGCTGAAACAAAAATCCGCTTCTTTTTTTGAGGATCTGTGACTTTTATAGCTGTTCTTGCTAGAAAGTATCATGACAGTTGGCGCAGGTAGCAGTGGATCACGCATCAATAATCGGTGTTCGAAAAGTGCAAGATATAATACAGGCAAATCTCGTATCAGTCATTTCGGAAGCAGTATTTCAAAAGAGTGTACAGTGCTTGGTAATTTCTTTATTTTTGTATGAATTATGAGTTGGGGATGAATTAATTAAAGGTCCTTGATTAATATAGTTTTAGATAGTAAAGAAGTATTGGAATTAGCTAGGCATGATGCAAACCGTGTCTTAATTTTGGAAGAATAGCTTTGATGAAAGTTTAATTTTTCAATGCTTAATCAATTCCTACATAAGTTCAATGAAAATGAAAAACAGATTTGGCAGTACGACTTATACTTTTTTCAGATGTTTTTGAATGATAATTTGGTCAAAGAAAAATTTCTTTATTCATAATTAAGTATGAATAAATTAGACTCAGATAGCTTTAAATTTTCACCTTCAAATAGTACACATTGATGCATATGTCATTTTAATTCGATCTTACCTTGAAAAATTGATTTCAAATTATGATATCAAGAAAAATAATAGTGACCAAGAATAATAGTATGGATTGTATCTCTTGTACTTATTCTTGTTCATAGGTAGTCAACCATTATGTAGTTTGCCGGGTGGATCAAAAGGAGAAATAAAACACCGTTTTGAAATAACCAAAAAGTTGGGTTCTGGCACTTATGGAAAAGTTTCGCTTGCTTATGATCATAAGACTGAAAGAGAGGTTCTGTATTTTAAATTTTTAAATTTACTTTTTCTTAGTTGTTACTTACTGACTTTTCGTAAATGTTTTATATCATATTAAATAACAAGTCTGGAAATATTTTCAAATTTTCTTCTTGCTTTTCATCCTACTTTCCCAGATAATGAAAGAATATGATATGAGTTTAGCTTTCATTGACAAGTTAATTTTCCGATCTTTTGTTTGGGCTGGACTTTGAGTATTTTCTAACTAAAAATATCATTTCATCGAGTTTTTATTTTAAAATAGATTAGCTTTCAAATTTTAGATTGCTGTAAAACTCATTAAGAAAAGTGCTATCGAAAACAAGCAGGATTTGGCGAGAATCCGGAGAGAAATTAGAATAATGTCCGCATTGAAGCATCCTAATATCATACAAATTTTTGAAGGTGCGTTAAAATTTCCATTTTGAATTTAGTGCTATGGAAGGAAGTTCTGTCACTGTATAATCTGCCATCATTCACAAATTGATAGAAAATATAAATTTTTTAGTTTTCGAAAATAGAGATAAAATCATACTTGTGATGGAGTATGCTAGTGGAGGAGAACTGTATGATTATGTGAGCACATATGGATCTCTTCCAGAACCTGAAGCTCGTCGAATTTTTCGTCAAATCACATCAGCAGTGCTTTATTGCCACAAAGTTATTTTTTATATCATTTATGCTTCTACTTTAGAAGTAATGGCTTTAACTTTGTTGTATGAAAAATGTATATATAAAACCCATGAAAACTCGTGAGTATTGCATATTTTTTGGGGGTACATCATATTTTATTTTGGTTTGCAGCATAAAGTTGCGCACAGAGACTTGAAATTGGAAAATATTCTTTTGGATGTGGATAACAATGCTAAGATTGCTGACTTTGGGCTTTCTAATTATTTTTCTGACAAAAATTTACTGAATACATTTTGTGGTAGTCCACTTTATGCTTCCCCTGAAATAATAAATGGAACACCGTATAGAGGCCCTGAGGTTTGCACAGCTTTTTATATGTTGTCCAGTTATTTGAACTGTTATTACTTCCAGATAGACATAATTCGCGATATTTATATAAAAGATTTTGTTTCAGAGTTTTAAAGAAGTCATCTATTTCTCAATTGCAAATGATGATTCTATTAATGCATAAATTTGAAAAGCTACTAGTACATATTACTTCAGACAATATCCTAGGTTTATTGATTTTGCCAACTCAGGTTGATTGTTGGAGCTTGGGAATACTTTTATACACACTTGTTTATGGTTCAATGCCATTTGATGGTCGCGATTTCAATCGAATGGTTAGACAAATTAAGCGTGGCGCATATTTTGAGCCTGATACGCCATCAAGTTTGTGCAAGCAAATAATTTGAGATGCTATTCCTACAAATTAATTTTTTATCATAATAAGTCGTTCATGCTTTTGTTTTCGCTTATTAACTATTTTCTTTCTCTTTTTTAGCTGCCTCAATGTTGATAAGAAATATGTTGCGAGTGAACCCAGAGAGGCGAGCAGATATTGATGAAATTGCTAGTCATTGGTGGCTAAATCTTGATGAAAACATGCCGATAATTCAAGAGCTTCCAGAGAATCAGGTCATTTCGTAGTAGATTCAAGCGGCCATTAAAACCCTGTTAAAAAAATAGATCAGAGCAAAGAAACTTAGCTTTTAGATAATCGATCACACTCCTTTAACAGAACGAGCAGAAACAATGGTTGTACAAGATTTGGTGGATGAAGCTGATATATTTATGGATTTTGGTTATTTGAGTGCTTCTACTAGGTTTCGGTTCATTTGAATAAAATTTAAAACTTGTTTTTCCTGGTCTTAGTTAACAAAATGTCGTTAAAAAAAAGTTCAAGATCTTTTTAATATTGTTGTACACAACATGACCTAATTATTTATAGGCTAAAAATTGAAGAATTTAGAAGACGACGTAAGGAAACAGTAGAGTATATTGAAAGTTCCCCGATAAAACCACCAAAGACAAGAAGAACGGATGGCACTGAAATAGAAGCACTAACAGTAGCAGAAAAAAGTTTATGTTATGACTATGTATGTATTTTAAAATTATCACTGTAATTTCTTATTCGGCATTCTAATTTATTGATTTAATTGCGGATAATGGAATTGATTTAGAAAGTTAATAAGGAAAGAGAACGGGGACGACCTATCGCGGATGATTCAGATACATATCAAGAACCACTAGAGCGGTTGAAACAGCTTGAATCAAGACTTCAGGCTAAAGATAACCAAGTGGATCGAAAATTGTCAAAGTCACTATACACGGTTAAAATTTACTAAAAAAACTTTTTGTTCTACAATTTATACTTGAAAAGTGGAACTGAAATAAAAGTCTGAGTTCTATACCAAACCATACCAGGAAAGCGGTATTATCTTATTTACCAATATAGGCGTTCACAAATAAAGAAGCCTGTCGCAGCAACTTTTTCTCTACAGAAAATGCCGACCCCAGAACAAAATATAAAAATGATAAACAAAGTCCAGAGCAATCTGAAGATTCAGTTACTTCAAAGTTAGAGATCAGGTTCCATTCAACCGTCGTTATATTTTTTTATTTATGAATAAGAGTTTGCACAATTTTTGGCACATAAGAGCAACTTACACTGGCATGGTATTTTTCATGGTATTTCTCGTAATTTTTGTCATATCATCTTTTAATTTGAAATATATTTTTCCTTGCATAATATACATCATCTTAGATCATAAATCTTGCGTAATAAATACTTTTACTGGATCACTATAGAAAAGTTTAAAATTAAGTTCGCTGTTCTTTTCTGACTGGAAATTAGGGAGTTATATTTTGTTATAAATAATTGGAAATTAATTGAAGCTTGTTATAAATATATTAACCAAAAATTGTGAATTTTTTTATTTTAAATTTCGCTCATCTTCTAGGAGAAAATCTAAAGGGATAAGCAATGAAACTGCTAAACCTTCGTTTGTTCCTCTTGATTCAAAAAATATAGCTACGTCATACAAGTCAGCTATGGAAATATGGCATTTGGAGACCGATTTGTTGAATATGCTTATGAATCAGGCATTTTTCAAATCATGTGTTGCATCAGTTTTATGAAATATATTTTCGAATTCGCCTGTTGGAGACATTATTGACTCTTTCATTTAATTTAAAATGTTTGAACACTTCGTATCTTTTTGGAACTAAAAGCTACTAAATTTACCTAATATTGAATTACCCCATTTAAGCTTCAGTAGTAATTTAATTATGCCATTAGTTGATAACTGAATATTTTAAGCCTTAACATATTTTATTTACTATACTTATGAAATAAATTCCAGATTACTACATTTTATCTTTAGGTACTGGAACAGATAGAAAAAGGATCGGTCAGCATGACTTTAGTAGCTCGGATCAAATCAAATCCACTTTACGATTCTCGTCCGATGGTAAAAGAATTACTGGAATCTATCATTGCCGCTCAACCAACATCCATTCAAAAGCAGGCTTCAAAATTAATTTTACAAAAATCTCAAGTTAGCATAATATCAAGATTTCCCGTATATATATTTGACTTTCATTCAAGAAGTACTAAGTTGATAATTCATTTTCGAACTCGTGAAGTATTATGTGCGAAATATTTCTCAATATTTTCAATTATCAGTTAATGTGATTTCAAAAGTTTCTGGTAAATTTTGCTCAGGAATTGATCAAACGCCAGAATGTCGCAGCAGTGGCAATAGGAGCAAAGCGAAGTAATAAAGTATCCGAAGTAGTCGTAGAATCACAACCTGTCAAGATGGAGGACAGAAGAGAACTTGGAAAATATCAAACAGTCAATGCATCTCAATGTAGTGCAGAAGCAAAATCTTTTGAAGAAAGACCCTGGCATAGTGTTGAGGTGTTAAATTATTATATTTCATTATAAATTCTTAAAAAATCTGTCTATCAGTTGTAATTATCAAATGTCAAACCTTTTTTATTTATATGCCATAATTTCCATTTTTTTCTAAAATAAAGAAAATGCTTTCTAGCTTATTTAGTTTTTCATTTTATAGAATACTGTCAGACATAAAATACTTTATACGTGTTGTGGTAGGTTTTTGTAAATAATAGTTTTTTTTTCTTTTTGTTTTTAAGGTTGGTTTTGATCCTGATGAAGATGCAGTAGGGGACATTGAGATACGGCAGCAAGTCTGTTTGAATGATGAAATTGCAGAAGATAACGTTCAGGTTTAACTATATTTTATATGATTTGAACAGTTTTTTTGAAAATGCAGTTTATATCCTCCATCAATTTCTGTTATATTTCACACGATATATATTTTAAAAGTATTCAACAGTCTATTACTCCATCGTTCAATGTGATTTGCTGTGTAGGGTAATTCATTCGAAGATGAGAATGATGAGAACAGTCGTATTGAAAAAAAAATTAAAGAGAATTCACAAGAAAGTGATGAAGAAGTTGAGGAGAGTGACAGCGAAATCGATGAACTGGGAAACGAGGTTGACCAAGTAACTGCACATAATAATCTTTTTTTTTCCAGTTACTGGGACAGTCGTAAACGTTTTATTTTTGTTTCGGAATTGTTAAAAGTGGATACTGTGAGATTTCTTAAGGAACTTTAAACGGACAGATTATTTTAACATTAACATTTTACTATTCATCTAAAAATTTTGTTGACACGAATGCCAAAATTCTCACATCGATAAAATCGTTAATTTTCGTCATCAGTACTATATGACAGAGTTCGGATATATTTTAAAACTTAGATCGAAAATGGAGAGGATGATTCATTTGGTACAGTGGTGTCAAAACAAAATATGCTTGTTGGAGAAAATAATCCACCACTTGATTCACATGTGATAAGTGTTCAACCACAGTTACTCGAGACTTTCGATCGAGGTTTAGCAAGACGACAAAGCAAAGGAAAATATCAAGTTCTCTTGACAGTTCATTTGTATAGAGAGCTAGAATATTGATACATATAATGAAAGTCATTTGTAGAATTGCTTTAGTTTTTGTTTACCTGAGACAAAAACTCCTAAGAAACGTATGTTCATGAGACACAGGAAGTTGCGAAACTAGCTCTCTAAAAACAAGTAGAAAATAAATAACTGAGGGTTTCGTGCCAAATAATCTAGCACAGTAATTTTAGTAGAGATTCATTAATGCTCCAATAATTTCAAAAATCCAAAAATATGGCGGGAATTAGAAAACGAAAAAGAAAGGAAAATAATTAGACATCATTATACTATGGAAAATGAAACCATTTGGATTGCAGCATAGTAAGGTGGAATTATATGGCCGTGGCGTGTCAATGGAGAGTGAAAGTCCGATTTTACCGCACCGACGGATCGGTGGACCCCAGCCAACTATTGAAAGATCACTATTTCTCTTTGATAAGATATTTTTTAGTCTTCTATCTCTTCATTATCATTATTTATTTTAGCATAATTTTTTTGTTTTCCTCTCATTCGTTTTGAGCGTAAGTTGATTTTGTACATAACACTGTATAAAATTGAAAATTATTCAAAATCGCAAATTTTGAAACAATTTTACTAAAATGTAGCTTTTTTTGCAAAGCTTCACTATATGAAATCGGTGATACTTTTGTAAAAAGTGGGCTTTGGTTCATTAATTTTTCCTATCAATGTTTCAAGTGATTTAAAATAGGCATATTTCTGTTTTGCATCATTATTTAAATAGGAAAATACATGTTTTTTAGGCCAAGAAATATATCATGACATATCCTAAACCAATTGATGATAGTGGTGATGATATTCCTGGAAGTATTGGAAAAAAAATTACAAAGCGCTGGCTGAAAACGCAGGATCCAGATGTGACTCTTTATGATGATGAAACTCCAAGCTATTCTGTAGCACCAACTTCAAAGTATGCTGTAGAAAATATCTATCTTTTGGTTCGTCATAGTATCGGATTGACCATCAATAATTTAATAAATAGGGTTGACTCGATGTCTTCACATTCACTTCTAACGAGGACAAAGTCAGAAAATGATGTATTCGAATCAGAAGGTGACGAATATCAAAAAGAGCAAGATCAGGAAGACATTGGAAGTGAGGAGGAACAAAGTAAAGTCAAAGAAATGGAACTAATTCAGAAATCAAGTCTGTTGAATCTAGGTAGGCTTTTTGAAAGTCATAACGGTGTGCCAGGCACTTTATTGATTCATATTTTCAGGTTTGGAAGAACGAAAAAGTACAGAAACAGAAATTAATATCGAACTAAAAGGCAGAAATAATGAGGTACTACTTATTGATGACTTCATTATACGTATACTCATTTTTATTCTTGAGAACTGTAAAGAGAAATTATGAAGTTTGAAGGGGATGAATGCTTGTTACTCTTCAATGCTTTCAAATTTCATAATCTGTAGCAAAAAAAAAAATCCTTTTTGCTGCAGGTGGAATCGCAGAAGAAAGAAGAGAGCCCAGGAAATGTTATCTCAGTGGTAACAAATCAGGCAAACAGACAGAAGGACTCACAGTTAGTTCTTATGCTCTTCTTCCTTCTTATATTAAAATAATGGATGCTTTTTATATAAAATTCAAGGCGATTTTTGCATTTCGTTGAAAATCAGCTTTATATTATCAAAGATATACTCTCCTATGTTGTTTCATGCTTTTTATTTTTGTTACATTTGTTTCCCTATTAGTTCTGCATGAAAAATTCGTTAGTTCCTGCTTTCTGTTTGCTTCGAATAGAATGTAGTAATGCAGCAGTTGCTTGCTTAAACAAAAGCATTCTTCAACAAGATCATGATGCATTTATTCTCGTTTAATATTGTATTTGATGTTCAAGTTTTCACAGTTCTTTATTTAATTTGCATGCGAGCTTTTTTTGTCGAACTGGATCATTAATTATACCGTCTGACGGAAAGACATCATTATGTGTCCGACGCAAGTCTTGGGACGGCTGACAATGACGTAATCGTACTATAGATTGCTGAGAATATTTTGAAGAGATTAGCATAGCAAAATACCATTAAACATGAAACAGTCTATGCCGATGATTATTTGGTGGTTGTTCACCATTCGCACTAAAGTTATTATTGTATCCGTAAAGCTAACTTTTGGATGGCCAAAACGAAACAAAGTATAATTATAAGTTTGAATTCATTGTAAAGTTTCTGTCCTTTTAGTTTCACCTGTTTTAGCATGGTCCGTGTGCAATTTAGCAGTGAGGAGCACTAATCAATACGTATGTTTTTGCACATCGAAAACTTAGTTTACGATGTACAAAAATGTATAGGTCTTTAGTATCAACTTTTACATTTTTCATTGTAATACGTCAGTAATGAATGGAAAACTATGAGGAGTTTTTCTGATGTACGTTTGGTATATCAATATCGGACTGGGGAATGTACAGTTGAACTTCATAGTTGTTACTATATTTACGGAAGTACTGAGTGATAGTAGCCACTTTGTTTTTCATTCAACAATTCAAGTATATCTGTTCTATCAGAATTCCATGAAAGCATGCATAATTCATATTGCAGTGTTACCGAACATCAAAACACAAACGTTCCTGCTTGCATTGATATTGGTAAGGTGTACAGTGTCAATACATGACTGGTTTGTTTGCAGTTTTTTGAACCTACGTAATACAGCTTTTCAAATTTGATGTTCGACTGTTTTTTAGACATTTTCACTCTTCCATTTTACAGAGTCATTTTACAGTTCATTACTTGCATAACGTTATTCGCATTCATGTAGCCTTTTCTTATATCTTGAATGTGAAAAATGAGAAAAGCAAAGCAGTCAGAACTGGACATTTCATAACACTGATCAGAATTTTTGTACTGTTAACAATTCCAGATCATTCAAATTCGATTTGTAATAAGCAAATCGGGAAGTTTAATGGTGATGTTTCAAGAAAATGTGGGAACAAAAACGTAGTATCGTCGATCAGGTTTAGTTCCGTAAGTTGAAACTATAAACTTACTAAAAATTTTTTTCGAAATGGTTTATTGCTATTTGTATGAATGATATATCTTCAGGAATATAATCAAAATTTCTGTATATCACGAGATGGCGGACGAAAATCGAAATCAGCGCATGATCTCTCTCCTGATAAAGTTGACCGGTACGTTACTTGAGGCTTTATTTTATATGTTTCAATTCGATATTTGGAAATCATAGGAACTAAATTTACATTCATAAGTTTGAAAAGCCTTATGGATTGCAAAATGCGTAATTTCAATTTATTATTGTTCTTATTTACTGATTAGTATTTTAGGTGTTCTGTAGCAAATGCAGGGACTGCAAACAAACTAAATACGCTGAATACACCAAATCCTAATTTTTGTGAAAACGAGGTTCTTTAAAAGTATTTTAACTTTTTAATTTAAGCTTCTTGATAGACTTAAATCAGCGTCTACTATTTATGTTTACCTGTTAGAAAAAATCAACACAATTTTCATGTTTCAGTCCATATTATTTCAATCATGTGCTTTGGAACCAAAAAAATTTTACGTGTATCAGACAAGAGCTGAACGAGGAGCTGAAAAAAATGTAGCTTTAAGGTAATTCTTTATTCTTATTGTAGTAAATATTTATGAAATACATGCTTTTGTGAATATCTCGAATCATTCCATCAGTGTGTGAATTGCTTACCACATTATTTATCAATTCATGCAATGATGAAACGATTTGGCTACGTTCACTTTTTGTTCCTTCATTTCTGAAGCTAGAAAGTTTACTAGTTAAAAAAATAACTAACGCATAGGTTCCTGTTTAAAAATATGCAGCTTTGCCTACATTTTTCCGGTAGTGTGAAGACATTATCTACCTAATAAATTAATTGCCTCTCAACCGTTTCTTATCATTACCATTGATTCGTACTTTAATTATCTGCATTTGGTGCAGTTAAATAAAGCTTTTTCCATTACTTAATTGCAATTTTAGTAATTTCCATCTCCCAACAACGTATCGAACGTCGGGTCTCTCATGGTATAACAGTAATTACCCTGTTTCTACGTATTCTGTAGATTATCGATCTAGACATGATGACAATTACCTCCATCGCCGAAATAATGCATATGATGTGGATACTGGAAGCAAGTGATACTAAGTTTCCAGTACAATCATTAGAATTTTTGTTTTCTAAAATGCTTTTAGCAAGAGAAAAGATTCAGTTTTGTAAAAATTTGCGGTACGTTTTCAGATAATCTTAACATAGATGGATTGCTTACCTCTCAGAATCAAACTAATCTTGAATTATCAAAAGGTTCTTTCTGTTATTTTGTTTTTCTTGGAAGATTTAACTTTAAAATGATGAAGACAATATGGTCAACTTTTATTAGATCCCATTCATTCTTCCGGTTCGTGAGGTTTAAATTATGAAAATAATGATGATGTACTGAAAAACTATTGTAATTCAATGGTGATTGAATTCCTTGAGTTTCATGACTGAAATATTTTAATATGTATTAGTGTTTTGTTAACTTTCCTTACTTTTACGCTGAAGTTACTCGGCATCGGTATAGACCGATTGGAAGACGTATCACTTCAGTGCTTGGTGATCTTACTCGCCGCAAGTATGTACGATCAAATAGTATGGATAGGAACGCATTACGTTCGGGAGATGCTGACTACTTAGGTAAATTCAATCATTTTTAGATTTTTCTGTCAAGTGTATTCAAATAAATTAGCTTATTTGTCGACTTAAGAAGTTAAGTGGAAGCTGTTATATGTTGTCATAGGTTTTCGAAATCGGTTGTTGGTGCCTGAATCACATAGTTTCGACAAAGAATATAGTTATGTCAATTATCATGATACTGCTGCTCGAGGATCCACACCACATGAACCAGATCAGAGCAAGGTGCCAACACGAAGCATTTTGAAAAATAAGGAAGTGCGTTTAATTTCTATTGAGCAAAAATATTTTTGACTTATGCTCCTTTTTGAACTGTAAGTTTAGTGTAATTTTGCTTTGGCTCTTGCCAGTTTTTTGGATCACAAAACTTAATTATTAAAAGATGCAGATATAAAATTTCGAGATAAATTTTGATAATTTTTGACGATCATGGAATTAAGTTCTGAAGCTAATATTTAGACTACTACAGTGCCAAATCTGCGTTCATCGCATGACTTAAACTTTATTTGACCCTTATTCAGATGATCGATTATAGTGAAACTTGACATGTAATTTGTAATTTTGCTCATTTACAACTCTTAAATTTCTAAATATGAAAAATTAAAGAAAAAAAACTGGCAAAGCTTTTTAGGCTAAATTTCTGTACATTTCTTGAAAATTTATTAAGACGCAACTAGATGTTTTGAAAACAAAAATTTTCCATTATTCGTTCTAGCAAATCATCAAGTAGTATTGTTCCTACAATAGTTTTCGATCATGTTAGTTATGAAAGTGGGGAATCTTGAACATCATAAACAGTCTTTAGATATCGGAAAGTGATAACCTTGCGTCAGATATACTAGCTGGCAAAAGTCAATGTACAATTGGAGAAAAAAATCAAGCGTCCTCAACTTCTGGTACATTTTTTTTCTGGTAACGTTTGGGTTATTAATCTTTCCTGGTGACGTTAGTATTATTAAATTTACTTTCAATGTAAAAAAAATTACCGCACGCTTTTGTAATTCTGCTGTTAACATCTAAGGCTACTAGTAATAATAGTGAAAATATTGGTATAAATCCGTTACGTTTTATGATTCATCAGTATTTTATGATTCATCAGTCATGATTGGCAGGTATGAAGCATATGTTTCACCGCCTTAAACGACACCTATCGGTAGAAAAAAGCACCAATCCTGGGTTAAGTACTATTTCATCTCACGACGTCACGTATCAAAATCATTTTCCACTTTTGAAAAATACAAACGTGAGTGACGATATCGCGGATCGAACTCAAGTAATCAGAACTTGTGATGAAGGTATGGCTGATGGAATTACCTCAGTTCATATAAATTTAATTTTCACTTACACTCCGATTCTATATTTATTTGAATCTTATAGTAATGTTGACGTTTCAGATACAGTTTCTAAAGAAGGGCCATCGAAAGCATCTAAAAAGCGCTCATTATTCCTCGCCCTTGGACGAAGAAGAACGACTGAAATGCGATTAGTGCCTGACGAGAAAATTATAATTGCTTCTGGGTCATTTAGTTGGTTGCTATTATCAGAAACTTTCTTTACATTTCTCTCACTTGTAAATTTCATTTTAGAGTAGAACCAGAATTGAAAAGGCCATCATCACCTATTGAAAAGATTAAATCACTTTTTCGAAGAAGTAAGGAAAGTGAAGCAATTGCAACTATTTCACAACCATTGTCTAGTGGTCATTCTCATAATAATTACCTCAGTTTCCCATCAACAACTTCAGCGAGGTAAATTTGATATATAAAAACAGTATGACAAAATTAGTGGAGCTTTTTCAAATATATACAAACTTTAATTATTTCAGGTATGGTTTATCGGAGAAACCTCATAGTATATATCCACTGCCTCATCTTCCATCTATGGTTGGACGTGAGACGTTCACTCCACAATATCGGAAATATGCAAGTATGAACTAAGCCTAAGCTCTGGCTCCAACAGTTAATGAAACTGTGAAATCTACATTCTGTGAAATTTACACGTTATATGTTCTCATGACAGCTAAAATCGCAAAAAGCGTTTTCAGCTGGTATGACAGTGCCTGGATCAAGCATTGTCAATCACTATCGATATAGTTATACTCCTGGAACAAATGATCGCGCGTTACTTCACTGGCATCATGAACCAAAAATGTTTTGATGAGATACTGTTGTATTAGAAACAACTATCATTACCAGCAGTTTTTTTTACTTACTTTTCAAGATTCTGATTTTAGCAATGATTTATCGACTTGTGAAAATCGTCTTTATTGTAATGTTTCGTTAAAAACTAGTTACCCATTAATCTCACTGCATTAAGATTCTTGATTGTTCATTTTTCATAATGAGGATGTTTTTGAAATGTAGAACTCGGTGACACTTTTTTTGATAATGCATGACAATGCCAGTGGCTCAGACACGTAACACGTGTCCGTACGGATATCTTGTTACATTTTTTTGTGCTTTCTGAAATAGATCGACTTTAAATAAAACTGATACAGACGGCTGACTTATGACTGATTGATTTATTGATATAGACGAGTGTTTTCTAATTGATACATTGGTATATTTCTTGATTGTGAGGTATTACTGAAATAAAGGCCGCAGAAAAATTTGAAACTAAACGGTTAGCTTGTTATCATCGTGCACATTTCTCAGTTGAGAAGTTATTTTTCCACAGAGGAAGTTGAAGTATACTCTGTGCCAAGGGTTTGTAGAAACTGACCAGTGGTCACTATAATCGCAGAATGTGTTGTTGTATGTCGAATCATAGTTTAGTTGAGAACTGTAGGACAACAGCTTGTGAATCATTGTGAATTGTATATTTAATGTTTGTTTCTTCATGCATAAATTTGAGATATATCATGTATAGGGTAAGCAAGTAGAAGGAGATCGTAGAATTTTTGAAAACAGCATTGAGAGTATTATAAATGGTTTAAAGTTTGTATAGCGATCAAAATAATAGCAGTATTGCTAGATTGGTTTAATGCATCATAATTCACTAGATTTGGTAAAAGATAATGCATAAAAATTTGCATCAAAAAAGTTACAGCTCACTGTAGATAGAAAGACTCAGGAGTCACATTTTGAGACGACGATTCCACTGCGTTATTTGTATCCATGAAAACTGTTGGTATTGAAGCATTATTCTGATTAATATCTAATGTTTTATTTGAAAAATACAAATGCAATGGACGTTCAAATTCACAGGCGAGTAGTTTTTTTTTCTGTGGATCATTCTGTTTTTGTTTTGCCCTTGTAATTTGTGTTAATTATTCCATAGTTCCTTCATGATAAATATTATCGACAAATTTCTTTAAAACTAATTTTCGATGAAGCTAAGCTTTTCATATATAATTCACATTTTATAGCAAACTTATATTGAAAATGCTTGTTAACCAAATACCGATGCGGTACTGATTATATATTTAAATGGTTCTGGTCGGATTTGTGGGTCAATCTGTCAAAGTAATACTAAAAATACGCATGAATTAACGCCCTAAACAGCTAAAAGATAATTTCAGAAACATCAACAACTTTTTGTTTTTCGATTACTCAGCAACCATTGACTGAACATTTGAAAAAGTTGGTGCAAAAATATATAGTGCATTTTTAACATGGTTTTTAATTCAACTCGTAATAATAATAATTTGTTCACAACAGTAGTGATCATGATAACAGCTATTATTATTGTTTGTTATTTATAAATAATAATAATATTATTATTAATAGTTCTCGGCCTTGCCGAGGTGCTGAGTGATTGGCTCCGAGGTTGTCTCTGGGCGGCTGTGTTCAACGAACATAAAATGGAGGCTCAAAGGAAAAAGTCGGTATCTGGAGTCATAAATGAGAACAATACAAGAAGAGATGCAGTTGGGAAAAGCTATGTGAAGGGTGTAAGAGAACATACTACCAGTGTACCAGAACCCGGTGCCAGCAGAATGATCATGCTTGAAACAATCGTCCGTGGAATCGAAACCCCACGAAGCAAGTGGCCGGGAGAGGTGCTGAAAGCGGTTCTTGACGGATTTGGAAGAATGCAGAGAGCGGGAAGCCATTGTGTCGTTCTCTGTATAGCGAGAAGTTTTCGTGTGGTATTACCCTCAGATGAGTATGTTTGTTTGAACTTCTTATTTAACGTCTTTTTTATTGATTTTATCTGTGCCTGTATTAGCTGAAGAACTGAAGAAGCAAGCGAATTCTGTGATTGCAGCTCGTCCATGCTTACAGAAACGGTTCTTGGAGGAGTCCACGAAACGCGTCAAACCACAAGATACACACTTCGAAAAAAATACCCTACATGAGTCTAAGGTTTATCTAGATGTATCTAGTGCTAATGCAAGAGGCACAAGAATGTGAGATAAACCTGATAAAGTGGAAAATAACATCGGAGAGCGTGAACCCGCTCATACTTGGAGCAGTAAACCAAGCGGCGGG